CTAATGATGTATTGTGTTATCTTTGTGTTGAAAGTTTTCTTAGCAACTTAGAAGTTAATAGTGTGTTCAAGTTTAGGGTTTAGAATACAAGTCCATTCAATACTTAGAGAGTAAAGACAAGAAACATTAAAAAGTTTGCTTAGTAGAAACATGATTTAAGATGGCTCTAATGAACATTCATGAAAATGAGAGTTGAGGGTGAAATTTAAAAATTTTAATTGTGAAAAGAATAGTTGGATAAACAACTCAAATTTTTTGTTTAGATTTAAAAATATATTATCTTATATATGTTTAAGATATTATTAGAATTTAAATATTATCTTTATGTAAGAGATTTATTTCCTTCATAATATTAACATGCGATATCAATAAATGAAAGTTTTTGAAATATGAAGAATCATCTCAACTTGTATAAGGGTCACTACTTTAAATAAGTAGTGATCACATGTAAGAAAGGTATCTAAAGTTTCATTGAAAATTTCTAAGAACAATTTATCTAATTTTTTCATAAAACTTGTAAGGAAAATTTATTCTCATAAAAAATAATGTAGAAATATTTTTCAAGTTTCGTTTGAAATAATAAACATTTAACATATGTGGACATTAAAGAGATTGAACTACATTAAATAAATTTATGATTTTTTTAATAATTTTTTTTTGTTATTTTTTTTTATGGTTTTATTTTTCCAATACAATCTAAGAACATGATTACTGTAGGAAATGTTAAACTTAAACGCAACCTAGAACTGGGGCAACACTAAATAATGTTGATGACCAAAAATCCAAAATCAACGTGGTGTAGAAAGTGAAAATGAACCAATACGAGGTACAAAAACCTTGCAGCAAATATATCCGATAGTTTGCAGCAAATATGTTGGTAACATACACTAACACCATCATATATATAGTAGGGTTAAATATAGCGAGCAAACTATACAAATACATTTAATGCCTCATTTTAAATCGAAATTTTAAAATATTAGATTGATGAATCTATCTCAGTTATGGATTATTCAACGAATTACCTAATTCTATTACATGTCAATTCTGTTCAAACTTGAATTCTAACAACATAAGTCTTGTTTATAGTATTGCTCCACAGTCTAACCATGTTGGTGACAATTTCTACAACCTTGTACCACTTTATATTCCATAATTATCATGACATTTTCCTATATATACGGTATTCGCTTCAATTTTTCAGTAGCTCTAAGTCATTAATCATGATACAAGACTTCTAAGCCTTTCTTTTACGTTTCTGTATACATCACCGCTTAACACTATCAAATATACAAGCATTCTTAGTACCTATACCAAAATATATATGCTGTATCTTATAAATATTTAGGTTTGATGCAGCACCATAATATCTCAAACCTAACGTAACTTCTTTGTTAGATACACGTACCACGTGCATGTACCATGTTCAAAAGTCACACTCACTTCTTTACACAGTAAGTTGTCAAATATTTACTTTGATAGCAAATATTTAAAAACTCATTAAATGGGAAAAAAATGTATTTTTAGCATTAATCTTGAGACGACAAAAAAATTGTCTCTTTGATTTTGTTGTGAATTTTTTTTTAAAATACCTGTATATGGAAAAGATTAATAAGATAAATAAAAGATAGAGATGATTATATATAATGTGACATATAATATTAATTTTTAATGAAATTTTATTAATATAAATTGTTCTCAACTCACAGTGATAATCCTCAAAAACGATATTATGAAGAGTAAAATAATATATGGCCGAGTTTAAAGCAAATTAATTTCAAAATGGCATAATGGTTGCATGCATTTACCTATAATAATGAAGGAACAAGCTAGCTCTTCATCTTCCAGTATTTGATCTTAAAATGAGTGTATACGTCTGAGATCCACTGTGCCATATGCATCTTGGGTATAATCTTCTCTTCCACTTCCAAGGCCTATTTCTTCTACCTTGGCATGATCCTGTAGAATCATGTCATGTGATGTTTTTAGTTTTTCATGAACAATGACAACGGGGCATCAGATTGTAGAATTTAGGTTTCCTCGGCTTATATAATTGTCCAATTGCATTAGCTAACTAACAAAGAAATCTAATAAAAAACGCCTCATTTTGTTTTCTCCTTTTTACCATTTATTGATGCATTGTCCGTCCTCTCAATATTCATTTTATATTATACTTATACATTTGCACATTCTACCTTTAAATTATTGACTGAGATTGACGTCCCACAAAGTTATGAGTCATAAGCCAACAAAAAAGATCCGCTGATTTTTTCTTCAAATTATGTTATTAAAATTAGACAACTAACTTCTCCAATAAAAATTAGTCATTATTTTATTTTTCATTTTCTTAAATCAAATGCCTTTAATTTTATTATATTTCTCACTTATAATTTTCATTCACTTTATTATTTTTTAACTGATTATATATATATATGTATGTATGTATGAGATAAAGAGTTAGAGGTTGAAATAAAAAATTGTTGATTGTTATTTCCGTAAGTATTTATTCAAAATGGATACATCCATGTACATGGCGTCAAAGGCTAAGAAAGTGCTGATTGTATCTTAGGTCACGATATATAATTATAGTGCTGATTGTATCTTAGGTCACATAATTGTAGTCGTTTGATATGATAAATTTTTTTTATGAAATATTTTTAAAAGAGAAAAATAAGAAGGAAAAAAATAATTTCTTATAAGTTAAAATTAACTTATTATAAGCTAATTTATAAAAGTTCTTTGTTATTAATTTTAATAAAATTTATTTTTAACAGTTTCTTCCCTTCTTTTCCAATGACTTAATTAACATCGAGTTATTTAAAGAATACCATACAAGTCATACGTATGCATAGAAGTTCGATGAATACATGCTTCATTTTACCCATTTTTAATTCATACATACATATATATATATATATATATATATATTTTTTTTTTCCCCTATTTCTTTCTCCTATAATTATTTTTAGAGAAATGTTTTCAGGCAGACCCAGTATTTATTTTATAATTTTGCTCTCCTAATTTTTAGTTTTATAAATTTAATGTTCCTATTTTGTAAAACTTGCAATTCCTGTATAATCATTAAATATTCATTCATATTGACATATAAGATACGGAAATACCGAGTTTGGTCATTGAATTTAGAAAACATCATGTTAATACATGAAGTTAGGAAAATGTCAAATAAGTAGTTTTTTTATATTTTTTTTTATAGTTATGTTATTTGTATAAAATATCTATTAATTTAATTGATGATTAATTTTTGTCAAAAATTTTGTCTAAATACTTTTAGTTTGTCCTCCTTCTAATCACATTTATTTCATCCACAAGGACTTGAAACAAGACTTTACTTAGAGAGATCGAGTCCAATATTATAATATTATTGAAATTAACAACTTGTTATCTAAAAGTGTAAATTGATAATTTAAAATTAAATAAAATATATAACTAAAATAATAATATTGATATATATTCATGACTAAAATGATAACAAAGTTAAATTTAGAAATTTATTTCTTACTTTCTGAACCTAATACGACAAAGCTCACCACTTTTAGAGAAGTTACTATTTACTCATGTTAAAATTATTGTTACCGTAATATGACATAACATAAGAATTAATATTTAATAATATTTAAATTAAATTATATTTATATTTTCCATTTTTACTTTATAAAAAGTAATAAAAGAGATAACAACAAAGACTTAATCTATTAAATTAGATTTTAGATAAAGAGTTTCATATAACAAATCTATGTATATTTTTTTATTATCAATTTAATAAAGTATTAAAATAAATTGTTTTATAATTAGTTATAGAAAATATTGATTAAATATTTATTTGGATATATCACCTTTAAGCATGAACTTCTTTAAAAGATTTTACTCACCAGATTCTTATGTTTTTGAATTTGAATCTAACAAAATAAAAATAATGAAATTTAAAATTAAATTATGAAATATTTCATTGCCAATATTATTCATATATTACAAAATAATAAAATAATTTCAAATTATATTTTGTTTAGAATTATAATAGAGTATTTTAGCCTTTTTAGGAATTTAATTTATATGATTTTTTTTCATTTTATCCATTTCATTTTAATTTTTGGTTTAATTTGAACATTTCAATAAATATTAAAAAAATGAGGCATATAATAATCTATTATTTGAGTGAAATAGTCAAATAAAGTATTTAAAAATTTAAATAAAGTTGTATTACAACTTTTTTGTATATGTATTTGCTAAAATATGACAACATGTAATATATATTTAAATTTGATTTGCAAATGATAATTTTTGTTTTTGCAGACGCATAATTAATTGATAAAGAAATTATATATATATATATATATATATATATGTTATAGTAATAGTAAAATGTAAAATAAGATTAAATGTAAAATCATACACCATGTAAATATTAGAGAGTTAAATGAACTCATTTATTCAAATATGATTTTTTTGATTTTTAGATAATATATTGAATTAACATTTTCTTACTCTTAATTTTTTTATTTTTTAATTTCTTACTCTTAATTAAATAAATATAGATGTGTTTACAAATGAATTCACTTCAAGAAAAAAGAGTAATGTATTTTTTTTCTTCTACAAAAGTAATGGACTTAAAGAGATATTATTATTATCACATATTGCAATTTTAGTATTAAAGGGTAAATGTTTTAATATTTATTTTAATTAAATTTTAAAGATATTAATGATAGATCATTAATATTGATATAAATATTATATAAACATAAATACCAAAATAATTTGTAATACTATTTTTTTTTTATACAAAAGTTGCACTAAATTTTAGATCATAGAGCTTCATGTATTATCTCAAACTTCGTTACTAACAATAATAAATTTATTTGGTGTAAGAAAAACAATAATAAATTCATATTGCATAATAAGAAAGTTATATTTAAAACTTATATATATATTAACTAATAAAATAATATATTTTTAAATTGAAATAATTTATTTTTAATCCACGCATCACGCTGATTTACATGTTTGCAATAATTTTAAGTATTATTCTGAGATGAACATAGGAATGGTAGATAATCTTATTAACTTTGAAATGACTAATAGGAGGAGAAGAGGTGGTGTTTTCCCTAAGATTTGGCATCTGCTTGTGGGGTGCTTGGGCTTATTCCAGTCTTGTCCTGTGGCTGTGACGAAGGGGGGTTAACCTCCAAACCCAATCTGTTTTGTGTTACATCAACATTATACACAAAGAACTTGGCAGCAACCAAAAAGCAGAGGAAGTTGAGAAAGCTTAGTATGGCCATGAAAGCATAATAATAATCCAAGTGAGAGACGTTTAGATTATCCAAAACCCAACCCTTGTGACCATTTCTCTTGGTGATATCCGCAACAGTTGACAGAAGAAAAGTGCTGAGAAAACTTGCAATACCTAAAGTGGTTGTGAAATATGATGTTCCAAGACTTTTCATTCCTTCTGGTGCTTGATCATAGAATAACTCCATCTTGGCAACTTCCACAAAGTTATCCGCAACCCCTGCCAAAGCATACTGAGGGAGGAGGATGAAAATAGTTAGGGGAATTGCATCTTTCTGCTCTAAAAGGTCCTTCTCTCTTGCAACACTCAGTCTCTTTCTTTCAGCAAAACATGCAGTGACCATTATGGTGACATGTAGCACGAGTCCAATGCCAAGTCTCTGCAGCATTGTGATTCCTCTTGGGTTCTTTGTGTAGCGCCGAATTGCGGGAACAAAAAGACGGTCATACATGACAATGGTTATGAGCATGGAGAGGGTTACAAATGCTGTAAGGCATGCTGGGGGAATTTTAAAATGAGGTCCCATGCTTCTGTCTAGGGTGGCACCTTGTTTGACAAAGAGTGTGCTTGTTTGAACTATCAAGGTGCTTGGAACAATGGTTGTAAGCATGATGGGAATCAGTTTTGTCATTTGCTTGGTTTCCTCTACTTGAGTCACTGTACAAAGCATCCATGGTGATGTTTGACCTGTCTTTACAGCAGCTTTGTCAAGAAAACTGCAAGAAGAGAATGGGGAAAAGTGTGCAAATGATTCATGTTTACGGAAAGACTAATATAGTAAAGAGAAATGTTAACAACACTTTATTTGAAACTCTCTTGTTTATGAAAGTCACATATTTTGATAAGTCTTATCATTAAATCATACGTGATATATTAAATACGATGTAAGACTCATAAAATTTGTGATTTCTAATAAATTTTGACTTATAATAAAGAATGTATTAAAAAAGAATATTAAAGAGATTGTTGATATTGAAAAAGGGTAAAAGGTAAATGGACTTAACCTGAATGAAGAGCTCTTATCAATTCTGTTTCTTCCATTACTTGCATACTCTTCAATGCTCAGCTCATGTAGCTCTTTTGGATCATCTGAGACATGTAGCTTCCACTTCCTTGTAGCAGCAACAAAGACCTGAAGCATCCTTGTTATAGGGCTACCTGAGGGCAATTTGTGCCTATAATAAGGTGTTCCTACCAGAAACACCAATACTGAAAAAGCAAGGCCAAGGGTGGGAAGGCCATATCCAATGGTCCAACCCACATAGTCTTGTATGTAGATCAAAAAGGTGTTGGCGAAAAGGGTACCAAAGAAAATGCTAAAAAACCACCAATTGAAGAAGGAAAGCTTATGTGATCTCTCTTTGGGCTCAAAATCATCAAATTGATCCGCTCCCATGGTGGAAATGTTGGGTTTGGTTCCCCCTGTGCCTGCTGCAATGATGTAAAGGCCTAAGAAGAAAATACCATATTGCAGTGACGATGCATGCGGGCAATTGTGATCATCAACACATGGTGGAGGTCTCAGGGCTTGTAATGAAACTGCTAGAGTCAACAGAGCCATTCCCTATGGCCAAAGAAAACATGTGCATGTCCCGTTTATAACTACAAGGGATAGGTATACATAATAACAATTTAGTTAAGCCACAATAATGATATATGAACACCTTTTGCCATGTTATTGATGTGAAGTAATTGTTGGAAAATCTTAAATTTTTAGAGATTCCGAGATATCCGAGATATCCGATTTAAGTTATCTGGAATTATTTGATTTATCTTTTGAGTTATTTTGTTTCAGATTAGATAAGATAGTTTCTTGATAAGTTTTGATTTGATAAGATATTTTATTATCTTCTTGTTAGTTCAGTACGTTGTAAAATGGTTATTTAAAGGTCATCTCTTATTCAATAAAAAATACAGTGAATTGTTACGTTCACCCACAACATTAGTATTACCTCGTATCTCTTATTTTTTTTTCTACAGTAATTAATCTTTACCTAAAATCTTAGTTGATCATTTTTTTTTTCTTTGCAGAAGACTCAGATCTGAGACTTTAAGAGGATTAAGTCTGATTCTATTCAAAAACGACTTATTGGCAACAGGTGTTCATATATTATTGTTTTTGAGTGTAAGTTGAACAACAATTTATAGAAAACCATAATGTTTACCAAGGTTGTTATCAACTCCATCCCTTGTTTACCACTGAGTAATATTCAAATGGCGAAAATAAACCTCACAATTCATACCAGAACATAGATGCCTGATGAAATTACAAAGGTCCAATATCGTCCAAGATAGGCATCAGCTATGAAAGCTCCTGCCAGTGGCATCATCCACACTGCACCAACCCAGTTGCTAACGTTGTTTGAAGCTGTCACAGTGCCCTCATGGAGCTTCCTTGTTAGATACAGCACTAGGTTTGATTGTATCCCGTAGAAAGCCATCCTCTCAAACACTTCATACCCTATAAATTACAAACACATGCTTATGCCATATTCACAAGTGATATCAAATAATTCATTTACGTACAACAATATATAAGAAAGAAAAACAGGTCCTAAAGTCTTCATTTACCTACTATGAAGGAACATGCTTTCCATTTTCCCGTTTTTGATCTCAAAACGGGTCTACCTTTAAGGTCCACTGTCCCATCTTGAGTGTAATCTTGGTTCCCATTTGCAGGGCCTTTTTCTTCTATCACTGCCATGATGTTGAAACATGCAAGTTTTTTAGCTTCTCTCACGAGCTTTTTATAGGGACTGATTCTAGAAGCTTAGCTTTCTCAACCGAATGTTATACAGTCCATTTGCATGAGCTAACTGACAAAGAAATATCAAGACCATAAACAGGAATCATAGAAGGAATCAACCCCATTGAATTCGTTTTGTATTTATCATTTATATACACATTTTCCCTACATATTTGGTGTTTAGCTTTTAATTATCGACCATCATAGAAGTTAACGTGAGATTGACATGTCACAAGAAGCCATGAGCTATAAAATAGCAGAATAATATCCGTTGATTAAAGTGGCTTTCATTGAATGCATTTGTATTTGTATATTCGTTTTTTTCCTTTTTCAGTCACTTGCCATTTGTAATATAATGTCCCACTTGTCTCTATCTCATGCTTCTTGGATTTTCCTTCATGGTCGGATTGATTTGAATTTGAATAAAAATTTAATCCAAATCAATTAAATGTAATTAATTTGAATTTCATAATTTTTTTAATTTAAGTCGAATGTAACCAATCTAATGTTGGTCGAGTTAGTTCGGTCCATTAAATATTTAATGATTTTTTTAAAAAAGAAAAATAAAAACCCTTTTTTTTCATAATAATTTTTTTTAATATTAACCAAATTGATATATTATCAAAAATTAATCAAATTGATAAATTTATAATATATTTTCTTTTGATTTTTTTTCTTAATTCATTTTAGAATTTTAAATGCACTATAATGTGTAAAGATACAATCAATATATTGCAATATAGTTTTTTTTTAATTTTTTTAAGTATTTGAAAAAAAAATCTATATATTATAACACAAAAATGTCTTCAAAATAATCAAAATAATGCACATATATTAATTGTTAATTAAATAAAAAATAAAATAAAATAATTGGTTCAGTTTAGATTGATTCAAATTTTAAATATATAAATTTAATATCAGAAAAAAGATCAAACGAAATTAATTGATAATTCATGAATTATCCTATGGGAATGACACCCTAATTTTTCCTTCCTAGTTCCTATCATACAGATACATATATATATATATATATATATATACTTGACTTTGAAGCTTTAAGATATTGTAATTGCCGAATGCACATTCCTTATGCAAATACATCCATATATATATGTATACATAATAATATGGGCTTAAACAAAGATGTCAGGTAATAGTTTTTCTAGTAATAATAAAATAAAATACATCTTTATAATGTCAAATCTTAATGCGATGGCAGGCATAACAAGTTTACATATCCAAGAACCTTGAGGGTTGAGGCTATACAAATTTCCTACCAATTCTACTTGCCAAATAACAAAATTAAATTATTAACTGAAATATTAAATTTGATGAGAACGCAACCTAGAACTAAAACTGGGACAATACTCTGAAGCCGGAGAGTCTACCCTACAAGTATAGCCGAATTTGGAGGCACAAAAACCTTGCAGGAAATCTATCAAATAAGTAATGTAGCTGTCTTGAACCTACCATTTATTCTGAAACAAACAATTTCCTTCCTTAGAGAAGAAATGCATAAGTGATAATTTGTATATATGATTTTTTAAAGAATTGTTATATATGATTGACTTTCACCTTTTTAAATGTATATATCAACCACTATTTTAAACTTTTTATGCTTTTAAACATTGTTTGAAATTAATTTTTATAAAATTTTCAAATAAACATTTTTTTTTTGTGAAATTTAATATTTTTATTTAATTTTCTTTATTTTTTATTTGAATTTTACAAGAGGAAAAGGTTTAGAAAGAGCCAAATTTGAAAAATAGAGTTATCTTAAGCAGATCCATGGTATCCACATTTATTTATCTTTGTCTTTTCATTTTTTTAATCCTTTAACGTGTCTGAGTAGCAAAACTTAATTAATTGTGTTGAGATTTTTTTTTGGTTACACTTGTTTTGAGATTTGTTGTAGCAAAATTCATGTATTCTTTTTTTAATTATTTATTAAAAAAATTTAGTTATTTATTATATTTTTCTACTCTTAATAATTTTTTTATGACTCATAATTACATTTCTTAAGAGTAAACATTGTTAGGAAGTATTTTTTAAATTACGAACTAGAAAATAAATATAATAAAACTTATAACTATATATAATGTAATAGAAGGATTATTAGCCGGCATTTATAAAATTTGATTTTAATACAAATTATTTGATTAATTGAGGATTAATAATTGGGCTTAGGCTTTTAAACCTAATAGATAAGGATTTAAATAAATTTATTGGTAGTTTAATTAACACAAATTAAAATTTAATAATAGTGATGGTCTAGTACATGTGAGGGTGGTCCAATAAATTCAAAACTTCCAACACTTTTATTCATAGTAATGTACATTTAATTCTTTTCTGAAATTCAAAACTTCAAACACTTTTATTATTTTTTTCTTAAATTCTTATAATCAAATTCTAAATACTCTTTTAGCAAAGTAAGGAAAGAATTAGGCTAAAAACCTAATTTGGTCCCTTATAATAATTTTTTGTTTCAATTTAGTCTTATTTTTATTTTTGGTTTTAATTTGGTCCCAAACTAATTAATTGGTTTCAATTTAGTCCCTAATAAATTAATTGGTTTCAATATGGGACTTCCGTCCAAATTATTTAAACGGAGTTAACTTTTGGCCATGTGGATGCCACGTAGATGCATACGTGGATGCCACGTGGATGAATTTTTTTTGAAAACACCTAGACCCAGAACGGCCCGTTCTGAAACCGGAACGGGCCGTTCTGCTTACACTTTTGGTGTGTTAATTTTGCATCGAGAACGGCCGTTCCAGGTGCAACATTAACACACCTAAAAAGAAACCAGAACGGCCCGTTCCGGTTTCAGAACGGGCCGTTCCGGTTTATTTTTTTTATATATAAAATATTAATAATTTCACAAAATATATATTATTAATTTTATTTTAATTATATTGGTATGTCTAATAGAATAAATATATTAATATTTTTTATATTTAATTTTATTATGTTTATCTTATTAATTTTTATTATTTTATTCCTCTAATTTTAAATAAGTTGCAAAAAATTATAAAATGATATTTAAATATTTCTTCAAACAGAAAGAGAAAAAGAAAAAAATTATTTCTCTATTTATATTGTTGTAAGATGCTTAGATGTGCTGTAAGTTGATAGGTTGTGTTATCAAGCTGAGCTGTGCTGAATGTTGTTTATGCTGATTAATGCTGCCAATGTCGTGTGATGAAAAGTTGTGTTGTGTGATGCTAATGCTGAACTTTATTGTTTGAGTCGAGCTGAATTATATGCTGATAGTTGTTGAATTATGCTGAAATTGCTGAGCTGAGATGTAATTGATAAATATGTTGTGCTGACTAGATGCAAAAGCTGAAAAATGATGTTAAGCTGTAATAGATGTATATCTCTGTGCTGAACTGGACTGTTATTGATGATTTTAAATGCTGATTTATAATATGATTGTGCTCTAGAATGATGAGCTGAGTTGTGAGTAGTAAGCTGTTTTGAATACTACTTAGCTGTGCCGTATGCTGTTTTTTTATTGTGCTGCGTTGTGAGCTGTTTTGTTGTGCTGTCTATTGCTGAGCTATATGTTGTGTTTGGCCACTATTGTGGTGATGTTATAGCCGCTACGTCGGTGCTGTTAGCCACTACTGTGGTGCTGGTATTGCCGCCAAGGC